TGAAACGACTAGTTCCCTCACTAATGGATTCCAAGCAAAAGCTCAAGCCTCAGGGGGACATTCACTCGGAGAACACGCAAGCTCAAATTGAAATATTGCGGTCGCATGTAGGCATGGAATATCCCCGTAAAGTTTCAGCTTCTTAGCATGTTTGATTGGCGAAACCATTTTTTTCCGTTGCGTGCAATTTTTTACACATCAGAATACGTGCCTCTTGCCAATATGCGTTTTTGCACTTGCATAACAAACAAAAAAACGTACAAAAATGTATGGCAAAAAACCATGTTTCATCGTATCGATTTAAAAATTCTTTAAACGTACAAAATCCCACACCTCTTCTGCTTTTGCATCCACTTTTCGTCGCTTCTTCTTGCGCCCAAATTCATCAAACTCATCATCATCTTCCCGTTCAATGTACTCAACATTTTGGCGGTCCATGTAGCCTCCTCCATACCCTGAAAACTTCGACCCACTGAAAAACTTAAAGAAACTGGCACAAGAGCTACTCGCCCAAACGAGAGCGTCCGTTGAGCTCCATAAAATGAGTCTACTAAGTAAAAAATGGATCTGATAGCCTAGAAATGTTTTATTTATAAAAAAAAGTACAAGGAGTCTGCCAAAATGATCGGAAAACGGTGAATTCATGGTATTCTCGTTTCTGCAAATCGTCGAGCGTAACCCCTCAGTTGGACTCGACATGAGAAACCACAGCACTTTAAGCAAATTCGTATCGACTTCTTAATAAGATGGCAGTTCGCCTGTATACAATGAAATGACCCGATGCTGGCACAACACGTACCTGTTCTCACTTCAAGATCTCCCAGTTTTGGTGCGTTACATATGTTGCAGGCTGTTCGTCGTGCCCAGTTCACATTGCCACATCTAAAAGAGCCCAATCGCAATTAACACTTTTACTCACAATTTTTCCTTGAAAAATTTGTAGACTTCTAACTTCCCACTATTCCCTCTTAGCACAACAATCATCGTACTGACGAAGTCCAGTTGTGGTGCTGAATAGGAATGTACCGCATTTAACATTCCCGCTCTTTCGAGTACTTTTCAGTGTATTTCATATTTATATGCCCTAGCTCTTTCGAGTATTTTATGTGATTATTTTATATCTATACATAATGCGTCAATGTCATTACTTATATCTTTATTACGATTCTTACGATTTTCTGCACGATTTTCCAGTCACATTTTCACTTTTGTGTTCACATTTGCACAGCACATTCTTCTTTCATCTCTGTTGAAGGGTATCCACGCAATGGAAGAGATCTGCTGAGAAAGCCGGACATCTTTTTTTAGGCTCAGGGCCGAAAAGAACGGAGCACATCCCCTGTTAACAGTGTGTTACAGCGCCCCCCGTCCGATCATGCACCAAGAATGCCTGAGCTGCAAGGCATGCATTGCTGGTGCGCTGTGACGGTGAAGAGACTGCTTACTTTGTGCATGCCCAGTCCTCGGCGGCGAACAGTCCCTTGGACTTTTCGGCCGCGTCTTTGCCAATCTCTCGGCCCACGCGGTTCTTGGAGCGTGGCTTCGCTTTGCCGCACCGCTCGCACATGCTCACACGATCCGAGTTGATGTAGGCGCACTTCGCGTCGATGCACGCCCATTCGCCCTCACGCAGCGCACGTCGATGCGTGCCCGACGCGGACACCACGTTCGATGCGGTCTGTCGCTGGCGCTCCAAATAACGCGCCGCATCATCCGAGCTCATACTCGCCGCCGCGAACAGCAGCAGAAGCACAGCTGAAACGCATCACACAGGCATCAAGTCCCGTTACGCAGACATGAAAAGCCCGCTCAGAGCACCGCTTAGCCACGGCTCCTTCCGCTGCACGGATGCAGGAGGTGGGGCCAGGCGTGGCGCCTTGAAAAACACTCGTTTTCGCAAAAAACAAGAGCGGAGATGAACAAGCCTTGCCTACAAATTCGTTTTCGCAATTCCTCCGATTTGCCCCAGAGGCAACGCCTCCCTCCCCTCTCCCCCGGAAACGCATTACCAACCCGTTCATTCATCCCCTCTGCCCCCTGCCTCCCTAAAGACAACACCACCTAACCACCTGCCCTTCGAAAACACAGAGCCACCCAACCCTCACCCAAACACCACGCCACGTCGACCACACGTAGCATCTGCGCATGGGCATTATCTCAAGGTATACACAACCTTAAAAAATCGTTGCGTGAGCCAAACTGAACTTAGCAACTCAAAAGCAGCAAATTTTTAAGTGCTTGTTTGTCAAAAAGTGGTAAGTGAGGCTACTTTCCTCCCTCTCCCGCCTTCCTCGTTTTCTTGGCTCTCCCGAGGAGAATCTCCTGGACGGGGCCTTTCAGCACACCATGTGGCGAGCCTCCCCTCGCTCGCCATCAGCCACTACCACAAAAAGAAGAAAGCAGGAAAATAGGCAGGAGAAAGTAGAAAAAAGATCTTAGAGATGGCGCATCCCCGATACAGCGGTATTCGGGGCGATGTTAGAAAACGAGCACGTCTTCCTCAAAACAACAACAACAACAACGTACACTGAAATCAAAGTGCTATTATGCAAATAATGAATGATTGAAAAATACTACTTCGCCTAATATAAGCTTTCCAACAGGCGGGATGACATGCAAACGTAGCTATTTCTGTGCAGGATGAAATGTGTAACAATTCCTCTTCCTGTGCGGGATGACCAGCTATCGTAGCTACATTTTGTTACAATGATCAGCTGTTGTTTTATTGTTGTTATGCGCTTTTCCATTCTTCGCTGTTTTGAGCTTCACTCATTCACAAAATTCCAAAGAGGCGTTCAAGCGGATCCTTCCAGCATATTAGCACTGTCTCTCCTGTTTTTTTAACACTGCACGGGAATGTGTGTTCATTTTTTGCTACATAGGATAGGCCAGCCAAGCTCTTCTTCCTGGCATATTCCTCCGCCTCGTTAAAGGCACTCACACCAGACCGAAATCGCAGTACTTCATTTGA